AAAAATGTCATTATTTTTTATATTCTCTTCATGTGAGTTCACACTGATATTTCCACACTAAAGTTTCTGCTCACATCAGTTTGACTTTAATGTTGGAATTGTAATTTCTCCCCCCTTTGGATGCTGCCAGTGTGATCCTCACACCTTTGGTGCAACAAGCCCCGAAGATGGCCTGATTTAATGTTGGGTGTTCAAAAGCTCTTTCATCTAATGTTATGAAAACTGTACTGCCTCATCATGATGCTCATGAACATTTTATTTTCATATAGTTTTCATGTCTTTGTTGAATCAGATCTTTGAGTCAACATTAGGGATGAGCGAGTACACCACTGTTTGTATCGGTTCAACCATCTAAATTATCTTTATCTGTACTCGGAGTGGGCGTGGCCTAACCCAGGAATGGGTGTAGTTTAACCAGAAGTGGGTGTGGTTTACATCAATACATTATTTTAAGTCTGAAATTGATATGGATTAATCAGAAGTTGCTATGTGTATTGGTTATTTGAAAACTATTTACAGAGCAGCCTCAGAACTGAGATTAAATATTTTGATCACACTAGTAAAGAAACTATTACAGAACAAGTTTTTCAATGAAATCAGAACTTTAATATTAAAGTGCTTGAATTAATACATCTGAACTCATGCAGTAGGAACTAGAAAATTTGAAATACTAGAACCAGACACATTTTTTTTATTTTAATTAGATTAAACTGATATTTTTCTAACGCTCTTGGCGTTTTCCCCACACAAAGTTAAACAAAACATTGTTGATTAAGGTGTGTGAGTGAGAGAGAGAGAGAGAAGGAGAGAGGGAAAGTAAAAATAAAAAGTAAAATAAAGACCGGAGCGAAGGCAGTGACCGACATAGCACGAGCCGTTTTCAGCTCTGTCTTGTCAAATGCACCACGTATGTTACGAAAAAAGTAACTTTAAATATTAAACTGAAAAAGAGAAGAGCTGAGGAAAACCTAGGGAGGACTGAATAAACGTGAGCAACAGTGAAGCAAGCACAGAGAGATCCATTACTGTGTGTGTGTGTGTGTGCGCGTGGATGGGCCGGACGGACTGCGCTCCCGGCTACAGAGTTTTGTTTGTAGGGAGGGACGGGTGCTCGATGTGACTGGCCAATCACAGAGCATGAAGACAGTCAGTTACCCAATGAGGATTTTCCTTCAGCACCATTACAGATATTTACGAGTTTTACTGGTTTCATGCCCGCCTTCATCAAAAATGCTTTATCCTGTACTGGATACTCATCTGAAACGAGTATCCGGCTCATCCCTAGTCAAAATCCAGTTCTCGCTTGAACCTTGCTTGGTTTAATTTGAACTTGTGGTTGATTGAACTCCATTTCTGTGGAATTATTTATAAAAATAGCTACATTACAGAACATTGGTGCATATTTCCTATAAAGCTACAGAACTTGTAAAATCTGGGGTTCCTGTGTTCCTTGTATAAAAAAAACATAATAAAACAGAGTGATCATTACAAAATCTGGACTGTGGTACAACGGACTGATCTCTAATCTACACAGAATGGATGCGGTCTGGCTTCCGTACAGCCTCCACAAAAACCAAAAATCAGTGAGTCCAATCGGAGCGTTCTCGCCAGCTGTGGTAAAGTGCAGATACGGATGTGGAGCTCCGGAAAGTTTCTGCATGAAATGTTTGTTTTTGGTCGCCGCATGCAGATTGGCATGAAGTGAAAGAAATGACACGAGCCTGAAAAGGAAGTAGGACGTGGAGTTCAATTCAACTCAGTTTTCAATTCAGTTTATTTATAAAGCGCCAAATCACACAAGAGTCATCTCAAGGCATTTTACAAAAGTACATTAATTATATTTTAACCAAATAAATAATATATTTCAGCTTTAGTTTAATTATGACAAGAATATCAGTTTGCAGATAACACTGAAAGCCCATTTTTTATGATTATTTCTGTTTTATAATCAGTTACTTTGAGTTTAACATGCAGGCTGAACATGAAAATTGTCTCCTACACCTATCTCCCGCATTATCTTCTGATAGAAAATAGACGGTGAAACTCTAGGATTTAAAAATCCTAACAGATCTACATCACAACTTGACTCACAACGGGGAAGGTTGTTGTTTTAGCGTCCAGAATCAGCAGAGAAGGCCTCTTTCTACAAAAGCTAACTGATAGCATTAGCAACTCAAACACACGGCTGAAGCTCGTCTAGGCATGTTATTTGTGGAGATTAAACATCCATGTCAACGAGCAAACAGAGTTAGTGGTAGTCTTGTTGTGTTTATCCAATCTGAGGCAAGATGTCTAAATATAAGAAAGGACTCCAAATCCTTCCGTTCCAAGCACCGCTCTGATGTTGCAGACCTTCTGGACCAGGGGTTTGTGTTTTTTTTTTTTTTTTTTTTTGCCCCGAGTTCTGCCTGCAAGGCATTCATTCCTACTAGACCAAATGCAAATGGCCTGAATGGCTTGTATTTGATATAGCACCTTCTAGAGTCCTGGAACCCCCCAAGGCGCTTTACAACACAATCAATCATTCACCCATTCACACACACATTCACACACTGAATGTATTGATTAAACGAGTAATCCACTCCTTTAAATGTATTTTGTCAAATGTCTAATCATTTGGTGCTCTCGTGGGATCAAATATCTGGAGAAGTTCAGTACAGGAACCATAGCTGGTCTAATGGGCAGCTCGGCTGTACGCCGTACGGATTCTGGACGGCATCTGTTCTACACCCTGTTTCAATGAGTGGCTAATGTGTGTGGGAGTACCCAAGTGGGTAAGTCTATGAAGAAAGAACTAAAAAAAAGAAGGAAAAAGTCATGGAGAGCTACAAGGAAATTATTCCCAAACAGATGCGGACTCAGAGTATGTAAATGTAGACGACGGGTGAGAATATAAATCACAACTTTTCATTAATTATTTAAAAGATCTCTCAGCTGAAGCACAAACATTTCATAGACATATAGACTCATTTTAACTCCCTCCTCTTTTTTAAGCCAACAAAACATATTTTTGTGATAATATTTTGTTTCCTCCTCAATTTCTGGTGGAGATTTTGGAATGATCCATGCCCAGGGCATCTGTAGCTATAATGTAGCTCATCACCATCAGCGTATGAATGTGTGTGTGTGTGAATGGATGAATGATACACTGTAGAGCAGAGGTCACCCACCTTTGTAAAGCTGAGAGCTATCGGTACATACAAAGGCCTACCAGGTTTATACAATGCTGGCATTTGAACTGCAATAGATCAGAGTGAAACTAAATTTCATGCATAATAAACATATTTTCATGTTTTTGGAGGAAAATAGTTGTTTTAAAATCTATATGAATGCATTTGTGAATTAATAATGGCAGCAAATTTTACATTTGTATTTATTTATGTTGGTGACCCCTGCTGTAGAGCAAAGCTCTTTGAAGTCCTCTAACTCAGAAAGGTGCTATTCTAGTGTGGGTCACTTATCTATAGATAAAGAGTTATGAACGTGTATTGTTCTTGCGTTAGCTTGGTTACTGAGGATTTTCTCTGATCATTGCACTGACCAGGTAGCATTCTCACTGCTTATACCTATTCCACAGAACCCCTCCTTCCAAAGATCTGCGCTTTCCTTTTAAATCATAATTACAGAAGTGTTCTCATATGCGTGTGAGTTTTTTAAATGAAGCTTTACACATTTTACCACTTCAGGCTCCCTTTTCCGGTCTTTTAATATTTGAAGTGTTATCAAACTGTTAAATTATTTGGACACTGTCACAATAAAACAGCCCAGGACTGGTCATCTCTGAGAAACTTGAGGTCATCTCTTCACGTTCAGTAAAAATTCCCACACACGGCTTCATGTGCTTCCTGTTCTGGAGAGATTTAGTGTCACAGCCTCATGAAGACTGGATTAAGCTGTAAACAAAAAAAGAACTATCGGCTGATTCCACTTCTGAATGATTTCTGGTTTGTGATCAGCCACTTCCTCCACCTTCTTGAGTTCAAGTCTTATGAGTAAAATGGAAAACTGAGATATTGAAAATGCCTGAGTTAGCACTCTCTATTTATTCCCTCTAACTGTCACAAGGATGTAGTCACAAGCAGTGCATCGTTCACCACATCTGTGTGCTCTCCGACGACATTGAGCATCATCTCTCTGGTCGCTCCTTTCTTTCTCTTGATCAGCGTGACCACACGTCGCTTTCTTCTCCTTCTCTTCCCAAAACATCAATTTTTAGGTCACGTTTCTCCCCTCCTTCCACGACTCTTACTCTCCTCTCCTGGCCATCCTCTTCTGTGTTTATCGCTCTTGTGTTTTACTCCTCTCCCTCGTTTTTAGTTTTTTATTTTATCTATATACAGCGAGGACAGCACTCGCCTGAAAATCCCCGTGCCTTGAGAGCTTGTCAGCTGTGTCAGGATTGTGGGTGAAGCCCGTCATTACATCTGTCCTCCTCCAAACTACTCTGAAAACTCACTGAAGACCTGTGGGTAGTTCTCAGTCCACACCAGTGTGTGTGTGTGTGTGTGTGTGTTTATGCTCCAACCCACTTGGCAGAATTGATAGAATTTAATGAAACTGACACATTTAGTAGGATACGGTAATAATTTCCACTGCCTGCCAACAGGACAGGTAATCATTTCCGTCCCCTAAACCCTTTAACTAGTAGCTGCCACCTGGTTCACCTTAGTGGACAGTTTCTGTCTGGTTATCTGCCTGACAATGCTACCTCGGTCACCTTTCAGCTGAAGAAATAAAAAAGGTGCATATTTTTGGAGAATCCTCCAACAATTCAGTCCCTGAAAGAGAAGGTTTTCTATTCTAGCTAGGACTCGTGTATGCCAAACTTTGTCCAAACTCGGAGAAACACATCTAAAAGTGTCATTAAATGCATTCGAATCACACAGAAAATCCTAGACCCAGGTCACCCTGTTGCGTTGTGGTATTTCTAAGCTTTGTTGTTCCATATAACTTAAAATCTGATAAGTTCCTCTCTTTTCCTGCTTTTTCTCTGGTTTCAGATGTACATCCAAACTACCACACTGACAATCTCCCTCAGCCTGTCGGCGTCCGTCTCACTGGGGATGCTTTACATGCCGAAGGTCTACATCATCCTCTTCCACCCTGAGCAGAATGTCCCCAAACGAAAACGTAGTTTTAAGGTGAGATGGAATTTGAGTTAAACTAGAACAATTTCCATAATTGGTAATCAGGTCTCAGTGGGCTGCATGTTTAAGATTCCTTCCATTGGATCACTTTGTCAGACTGCTGTTGAGTGCAGCATAAGCCTGATATGTCACATCTGTATCTGCTGTACTGAAGCAGAATTTGTCTGTTTGCACTTTTTGCCGCACCTCTTTGTTTCAGATCAGAAAACACATTTTTATATGAAACTAAATCTTGAATAAGTACATAAACTGTTTTGAAACAATTAAATGAGAGCATTGTGGAGGAATTTGAAGTGGTCAGAATCCATGGTTGCATCAATTACAGTAAAGCCGAGTCCAAACTGGAGGCATCAGCAATGCAGGACGGCAGCGGAACGTCGCTGCTTCCAAAGGAATCCATTATGGTCTATTGGGTTGATCCTAACCAGCCACAGGCCCACTTATGAGATGCATCACTTTCCGCATTTAACACGACTAGACAGGAGATCACACACAGTATCAGTTTAAAATCGCCGGCAATTGTTGAAATAAAATATCGCAGCAATGCGGATTCTTTGTGTAGATTACGTCAATAGATGTGACCCAATGGCTTATTTACTCCCAGTATCTTTCGAGAAGTGCAGTGGTGTGTTTTTCATGGCTTTAATCCTGACAGCAGAAAGGAGTCGTGTTATATATCAGAGATATCAAACGTGATTTCCTTCGTCTTTCTTTTGATTTAACGGTGGATGGCATAGACAAACTGTGACAATGAAGTCTCAAGGGATTTGTTATCTCGTGAGTCCAGCGAGGATGCCGGTGAAGATGCCGTTCCGCGGCTGAGACTCCCCCCATTGTGGACTGTCATGCTGCAAAGCATGCGAGTAAACCGCCCCGCTGCCGTTCTGCACGTTGAGGCCTACAGTGTGGACCCGATGTAAGTGGTTCAGATGCTGAGGAAGCAAAATATCACCAAACCATCACCATGTTTGATTTTTCATGTCTTACATGCAGTGTTAGTTTTTAACCAGACACACCTTCCCAAAAGTTCCATTTCTGGAAAATAAATAAAGATTTAGTAAAAAATGTGTAGACATTAGAAAGAGCAAAAAGGGGTCTGACCTTTGACCTTAATCAAAAGCGCTCTGAAGTATTTTTAGACAATCTTTTCCTTGAATTTCTTTACAACAAAGCATGCTGTGTTGGTTTTTGATATGTATTTAGGTTGAAGTGATTTTATTATTCTACAGGTCTGGCAGTAGCAGGCCTGGGCACGGTGAGTGAAACTGAAGTAATGTGGTTAATAAGAGCAAATTCGGGGGTTAATTACCTTTTCACGTGGGACATGGTTGGTTTGCAAAGGCTTTTTCCCTTAATACATTAAATAAATTAAAAATGACATTTTGACTTGCGCCCATATTTGTTAGAGGATCTGAAACATTGAAATTTGACAAAAAGACAAAAGCGGAAATCTGATCAGACTGCATCGTTTGTCGCAACATAACTAGAAAAATAAAACAAAATGTTTTTAAAAAGCTAATCCTAACAGCCAACATACACGTATTATACCTAGCATGTTTCCAATAAGTCATTCTGAACTGATTGAAAGGAGGTAACCTAAGGACTAGAAGGAGGGGGAAAAAACCACAAGAGAGGAAAGCTGCTCACCTGAAATGTAGCTGTCTATAATGATGGATTAGCTTCAGCTTTTAAACCGGTGTTGGAACCACTGCTGCTGTTGGACAGAAACACCTACCAGGGAGATGGTCCTGGACTGAGACAGACGTGGGACAGGAGTGAGGATGTGGCAGCAGACAGGAGAGTGATACAGCCAGTACAAGCAGTCCTGGACACATTCCTGTCTGCATACAAAAAAAGGTGAAACTTTGGAAAAGCAGAAGGAATGAGAACAACACCCCATGAGCTGTTGCAAAAATATGCTAATCTTGTGTAACATTTTCTGTTGCATCCATGTCTTTTTTGGGGTGCGGCCACTGTTTAACTCATTCACTGCCACTGACGACTAAAATCGTCATTTTAGATCCAACCGTTCACTGCCAATGACGACTAAAGTCGTCATTTGCATTTTTTTACTGTTTGAGCATCGGAAAGAGCCCCCGCGCTGAGAGAACAAACATCTCAGCCCTGAAGCCGATCTTCATCTGCATACGTCACAGATCACATGATCAGGAAGCAGTCCATCCATGTATTAGGAGATCGTTTTGGGCCGTTCCTGTAAAAAAAAGTGAGGCGCGAACCGGAAAAGCGTCTGCCGATCACAATTCGACAACGGATTATGAAAGAACGGGTAACGCTTGAAACACGCGGCTCCTTCCTGATGTAAGAGGTGAGTCTCCTCTTTGTTTTGGTTGTTTTGGCGTCGACATCATCCTAGCGCGCAACGTTCTGTGACTCTTAAAAAAACTGTAAAAACGGTGAGAAACATTGGCAGCGAAGGCCGTTAGTGATCAGGAAACGGCTGGCAGTGAATGAGTTCAAATGACTGCAGATATAAACCATGTTGATAGTCTTCATTTCTAATTCGCGGTCTTCTGATTGCATCATTTTACAGGCGATTGTGACAGCCGCCACCATGTCGGGAAAACTGAGCCAGAAGGGAGGGGACCGGCCGAACGGAGAGGTTAAAACGGAGCTGTGTGAGAGCATGGAGACCAACAGTGAGTAAGAGAACACCAAACTTTTCTAATTACACATTCAAGCATGGGGGGGGGGGGGGATCTTTACAGTATGTTCTGATGGGAAACAGGCTTCAACACAAACAGTTGTTTTCTGCTTGGTCCTAGAGCTCAACCAGTGTCAATTTAATATAGCGTAATATTGTTTTCAGATGGTAAAAAGTGCAGGGGTCAAAACTGAAATGTTGGACTTTATCAGATAATAAATGAGTAAAACATTTTGATCATGCTTAGGAATTAAATTAGATTTGGCAGCAAAAACACGTCAAACACAGCTGAGAAAGTTGTTTCGATTAACTTCAAAACCTAAATAATTGCATTTACATGGTGCTTACGTTTTATACAGCATACCTAACGCGTTTTACATGCAACTGCATTTAAAAATGTATTACAGTTACAAATAAACGCACAGCTAACTGTTTCCTTATGTGGGGTCATTTGCTTGAAATCAAATGATTCACTGCACTTACCCTGCAATTAAAATATTTAATCATTGCGTGTCATGACAGATTTGCACCAAGCAAACAAACAATTCCTTCTTTTCTAAGTAGATGTTTACATGGAATATCTGCGTTGAGATTTGTGGTTCGTTGTTTGACATTTATGACAAAGTCCAACTGCAATGAAGCACTGCTACAGAAGCACAAGGAGCTGGTCTGTGTCCTGACTCTGCAGATGTGTGTCAACTTTAAGCATGCATACGGAAAAAGTCCGCTAGTGTGCAGGAGTTGGTGCATGTAAATGTGTGTGTGTGTGTGTGTGTGTGTGTGTGTGTGTGTGTGTGTGTGTGTGTGTGTGTGTGTGTGTGTGTGTGTCATCTTTTCCATAGCGCCTCTCAAGAGAAAAATCACGAGGTGCTTCACAAAAACAAAAAATGTAAAAATGAATTTAGAAAATGATTTAAAATATATTTAAAATGGGTAAAAAATAGATAATTGTGATTAAAAATTTTAAGAAAGAGAGAGAGTGAATATGAAAGAGGGAAATTAGTGGATCCTGAGGAAGGTGGAATAGGTGGGGAGAGCAGAATAAAGAGAGAGTGGTGAAGAAGGTCATACAAAAGCCAGCCTGAACAAGTGAGTCTTCAGCTGCTTTTTGAAGGAGTTCACTGAGTCCACTGATCTCAGGCTCAGGGGGAGAGAGTTCCAGAGTCTGGGGGCCACAGCAGCAAATGGTCTGTCACCTTTGGTCTTTAGCCTGGTGCTGCACAACCAGTAGGCTTTGATCAATGGACCTCAGGGACCTGCTGGGGGTGTAGGGACTAAGAAGATCACCAATGTATGATGGTGCTTGTCCATGTAAGACCCTATAGACCAGAACCAGGATCTTGAAATGAACCCTGAAGTTGACTGGCAGCCAGTGAAGCTGGAGGAGAAGTGGGGTGATGTGGGTGTGTTTGGAGGACTTGGTCAGAAGCCGAGCACAGGCATTCTGAACCACCTGTAGACGGTTCAGGGAGGTTCTGCTCAGACACGTGAAAAGAGAGTTACAGTAGTCTAAGCGTGAGGAGATGAAGGTGTGGAGAACTGTCTCAAGTTCAGAGCGGGACAGAATGGGACTCAGCTTAGCAATGTTCCTGAGATGGAAGAAGGAAGAGCGAACAAGAGAACTGACATGAGAATCCAGGGTGAGAGCTGGGTCAAAGGTCACGCCAAGATTCCTGACAAGAGGGTTTGGTTTGAGAAAAAAGCTGACCAAGAGAGTCTCTGACTTTGGGAACCAGCTTGTCTGGGGCACAGATGAGGATCTCAGTCTTATCTTCATTCAGCTGTAGAAAGCTCCCAGCCATCCAGGTTTTGATAGAGTCTAAGCAGGTGTGTAACAGCTGCAGCTTAGACATCTTATGGGGCTTAAAGGAGATGTACAGTTGGATGTCATCTGCATAAAGATGGTAGGAGATTCCTTTGAAGGAGCTCAGGATGTGCTGAAGAGGAAGCAATGGAGGAGGAAGTGCAGAGGCCCCGGCACAGAACCTTGTGGGACACCATGGGCAAGAGAGGTGGTGGAGGACCTAAACTTGGAGACGGCCACAGAAAAGGAACGCTCAGAAAGATAAGAGGAGAACCACTGGTGTGTGTGTTTGTCTTCTCGATCCCCAGTGAGTCGTGGAGGATGGCTGCTTATACTGAGCCAGGATCCTCTGGAGGTTTCTTCCTGTTAAAAGGGAGTTTTCCTCTCCACCGTCACTAAATGCTTGCTTAGTATGAGGATTGCTCTAAATATATGAGGATCGATGGAGTTTGCTGGGTTCTTTATATAGGAAACTGTTTTCTGATTGGCTTAATGAACTGACCTGATTTGGAATGTTTACTATGTGAAGTGCCTTGAGATGACTCTTGTCGTGATGTGACGCTATATAAATAAACTTGAATTTAATTTAATTTAATTTAATTTAATTCAAATGCATTTGTGCATGTTTAGGCCCTGTCACAACATGAACAATATACTGCTTTGTTACATAAGTGCTTGGCCAATCAACTAGTAGATAAAACGGTGAATAAATTAACCGATAAACATCTTGCTGCCTGTATTTAAATGGTAGTTCAGATATTTTGAAGTTTTATTACAGATGACATGGTTACTTACTGGGTAAATGCAGCGAAGGGGAAATTGGGAGATCCGAAGGCCTGGTCCTCTTAGCTGTCTTGTGCTAAAACGTCAGCACATTGCGACCCCTGTGTTGTGAGTTACATCATCGATTGGTGCAAAACACGCAAAAGTTGCCAAAAGTGTCAACAATTTGTGTTTTCCTGAATGCTGGTTCTCTGCCCCGTATGCATTTCTTATTTTCTACTAAGTTGACGTAATTTCTGATAGCGTAACAACCAATCGGCAGCGTTCCCACCCATCAACTGCACCAGGCCTTTTACCGGGCCACTCTGAGATCCTACCCCTGATCAAGATTCCTAAAATGGCCCGGAAAATGGCTAGCCTGGTCAGGTAGAGACACGCGCATGTCGTGAGTTTCCTGTAAATATACCCTAAAATTCTGGTTGTGGAAACACACCTATTAAGAATTATTCTAGGGAAAAATATGCTATTTGAAATCTGACATTGTAGAAGCAATAAAACTAATCCAATCAGGAAGAAGCTGTTTCTCTAAGCTGAAACCATTCAAGTAACCCTAACCCTACCTACAACTGGTAAGATAATCTTCTCAGTGGCCAAGTGAGACCGGGGTTAAAATCCTGGTCGGGGCATACCAAAGATTTTAAAAATGGGACCCAATGCCTTCCTGCTTGACACTAAGAGGTTGGATTGGGGGGTTAAACCACCAAATAGTTCCCGAGCGCAGCCACAGCTGCACCTCAACACTCCCCCTGAGGATGGGTCCAATGCGGAGATGAAATTCACCAGTGTGTGATGATGACTTTAACTTTATATGAGTCAGTCAGAACATTTCCAAAGAGTTTCTGATATTCACTTCAAAATATGCAAACTGTCAATTCAAGAGTGAAACAAGGTTTTAATGTCTGGAGTTGCTTCAGTTTGTCTGTTCAAGCTTCTGGTCCATACGCAGTGACAGTTTGTTTATGTTAGCTTTTTAATGGCAGCGACAGAGTGAATGGGGGTTAAATCATAAAAAACGGTTTCAGGGTGCATAAAAACAAACAAACACAAACAAAAGTTCAGGCCTTGATGTCACTGAGTGAGTCGAGGCCTGACTGTTCCATCATAAACATTTTGGGAGAAGGAAAATAAAGTCTCTGAACCGAGTTTAAACACTTTTTTGGCCACGCGGTGCAAACTGCAGACAGTTGAAATAAAACGGTGCTCTCCTCTCAGCACGTCTTTTGCATTGCCTTAAATCGGTCCTTCTAAAACTTCTTCATCTCTTTTAAACTGTTTTCAGCAGGTCTGCACAATATTCCACATCTTGCATAACAATTTATTCCAGTGTTGCTGGCGTTCCAGATAAACTGTATCTAAAATTTGTATCTTTATTACAACAATAATAAAGCAGCTTGTATGGAAAAAGTAATTGGGAGTGGTGGAGTTAGACTGCACAGACGCTGACATTTACAAGAGGATGCTTGAGGGGACAGAAAATATCACAAAATTTGAAGCTTGAGCAACTCCAGTCGTCTACGGACGTGACAGCGATGTTAATCGCCTGCAGCAAAATTTGCTTTAATCTGCCTTTATCTTCTCTTTTTTCATGTTTCTCCTCATTTGTTTGTGCCTCATTTCACATCCGTTTCTCTAAATTTCATCCTTGGTTCTGTTTTTGCTTCCACCAAAACCCACATCCTTTTTCATTTCACCCGCCGACGCAGCTTCATCAACTAAGACGACGTATGTCAGCTACAGTAATCATGCCATCTGAAGAGACTGCAGAGGAATGGGATTGGACAGGAGGCAGGAGAGGGGGACGTGCCTTGGGGGCGGGGCAAAACGAGAGAGGAGGAGGAGTTGATTTGCAGCCAAATGGTTGAAGAACTGACGAACAAACGACGCCCCAACGGAATCCAAGCATGAGACATTTTGTATTGTTGCCCATCAAACCACAGAGGTGGGACCACGTAAACAGCCAATCAGTGTGCCTGCTTTGCTGCTACTCACAGCTCATTGGTCCTGCCATGAACTTACCTGTTTGAAACAAAATAAAACAAAACAAAAAAGAAACAACATTAAAAACAGAACAATGGACCGAGAAACTATAAAAAGAGAAGTTTGAAAAAAAAAATTAAGGTATTGAAAAACTGTGTAGACATTATATATAAAAGGGCAAGAGTGGGGCTGGAAAAGGGATTTAACAAATTACATTTAAAAGATATTTAAAAAGAGAAATAAGAGAAAATCTACGAGACTCGAATCTGTTTGTTGTTGTTCTCTACTTGTAAGTATTTTTGTGGTTGTGACGATTTTTTCATTCTTGTCTCACCGTTGTCTAATGGATCGCCCTTGCTTAATGAGATGAGTGTGTTTCCTCCTGCCGTCTTGGCAAACCAGGTTGTAACCTTGGGTTGTGAACCTGTATAATGCCATGGTTGAAGCATGCCAGTTTTTATACAAAAATGAGATTTATTTATAATAAAGGAATGTTTTGCAAATGGGTAGATTTGTTGTCGTACTTTTGAAATATGACATTTTCCATTTGCCTATTAATGAAATTTGCTATAAGAATGCCTCCTACTTTAACGTTGTAGCCATAATTGATATTTTCCTGTTTGTATTAATGAAATGTATCTTTTATTTATAACATTTTTAGGAGAACACGCACTTGTCATAATGTCCTGCCAAAGAATCGACTGAAACACATTGAATTACACTCTTTTGCTTAACTTTGCTTAAACCACACGAGTTAACTAACCTCCTATTGGCCAGAAATATGATTTTAGATCATTAGTGAGACACCACCCCTCTCGTCTACCCTCTATTGTGAGGAAGTGTATGTTTTTAAAAGATACGCACACATTTTGTTCTCAATAACCAATAATTAGAGCCCTGCTGCATCTAACGGTTCATAATAATAGATGTAGAAAAGTGAACCCACTCTGGTAATCAGCGAATACTTAAACACTTTCTGCTGTTGAAATTCTGATATTTAGCCGTCTTATTTTCAGACGGAGTGTAATGAGGCAGCATTCCAAACCTTTTTATTGTAGATGAGAGTTGGGATGTTGACTAAATCAAGAGCTTTTGTTTTCTGCTCAACTCCTTCATCATCGCTGAAACCAGAAGATGAATGATGAATCCCTGATCCTGTCTTCCACCCCTGGCAAACAAGACACCAAGATGCCTAAACTCCAGCCCGAGAGAAAATTCTACTTCAGATGATCTGACTCTCTTTTTTTTTTCTTACTATGCAAGATTCCATTACTGATGCAGTGAATGGCAAGCCTTCAGCCCAAAACCACAAACGTTTCTTTATTTCTTTATGATTTAAATGGGAATTCAAATGAGGATTCGAAGTTAACAGATAATCAAACGTTTTCCATTTCTCTGGATGATTAAATGTGGTGTTATTTTAGTCTTTTTAAAGAGACACTGTGTAGTTTGTACTCTGGTAATATCAATCAAAGTTGTTGAAAATGAATGAAATAATGCCCAGTTGTTGAAAAAATATTGGTGCTTCGACAACATGTAACCATGAAAATCGGGTCTAAAATACATGGGAGTGGGTCTAAGTCTAAGCTGTGTTTTCTTCTATGGGAGCCAATGACAAAATGCATTTCCCGATTTGGAATAAATGGTCATAAAACTTTCACCGTTCATAAACGTTGTTTTACACATTTACCTCTTCGCTCGTTGCCAGTGATGAAAGGAAATCTGTTGTGCTCGTCATGCTGCTGGAGTTTGCACTCCCAGGGATTTTGGCCCTAATGGCCATCCGTTAGTAAGGTCTTGCTCCAACACAAAAGTACTGCTTGTTTGCTGTGATTTAGGTATCTACTGACCCCATTGCCAGCAATAGTACACATCATCACTTTAAGGCTGAGAAAAGAAAAGAGTTGCTGGATTATTTTTTGGATTGTGTCAAACATGTCTTTGACCTGAATGAGTTATTTTCAAATCTGTGGAGATTTTTTTTAAAAATTGTATCGTAAAGCTGCTTTAGAAAATCTACAGAATAAGCTAGATTTTGAACACAAACACGTTAACGGAACACCCACACCTCCCCTCGGGTATCTTCCCTGAGACGCAACTGCCGGAACTGGACACCCACATTCCAAGATGGAACGGGATGGTGCTAAACACCAGTCACCATTTTCTAGGTCCAAACATCTTTTGTTGTCCATGATTTCAAATGGTGTTTTACTTTTGGGGACTCTGGTAGTTTGTCCTAAAGTTGAAGTGGTAGCAGGCACTTCTCTGACATTATTGAGTGGAGAACCTCTCACACCAGTGGTGTTCTGTTAAATATGTGAGAGTGAAATGAATGGGAGATCCAGGGAAATGCGATGGTTCAGCGAGACCGACAGCTAGATGGTCCAATAGTTACTTTTGGTCTGAAACGTGTTAATAGCGGAGGTTCAGACAAATGCAATAGAACCACTCCATAAAATGGTTAAGTATTTTTTTTTAATCTCCACAATATATATATATAGCTATACTATGTTAGAATGTATTTTAAGCTAACTTGTTTTCTAAATTTGCCATTGCAGCTTCAACTTGGGCTGCATGGTGGCACAGTGGTTGGCACTGTTGCCTCGCAACACGAAGGTCGCAGGTTCGAAACTCGACTGCGGCCTTTCTGCGTGGAGTTGCGTGTTCTCCCCATGCATGCGTGGGTTTCCTCCGGGTACTCCGGTTTCCCCCACAGATCACAACATAGGTTAAAAAAAAAATTGTAAGTCGCTTTGGGTAAAAGCGTCGGCTAAGCACATAAACATAAACATAAACTTCAGATGCCAAAATCTGCACTCTAAACTTAAAGAAACATAAAGCACTCTTACTCTTTTCTTTGCAGAACCATATTTCTAGGTTCTCTAATATTTATTTGTATTTCATGATTTTCTTAATGCCATTCTCAGGTTCCTGCCAGTGTGACCAAAATAACAGGAAAAAGTGGGAGGCCGAAAACAGAAGAGCAAAATTACTCTCAGCTTTAACAACGACTGTTTAAGTGTGTGAATTGTTTGCAAATAGAGAGTTGATGTTCCGGTGCCACAGGGGTGATCAGCTTCTTGCATGCTGTTGCCATGGTATCCAGACCTGACGTCAGAGACAGTTAAAGATAAGTGATTAGGCTTTTTTATACAATTTCTCACATAATCACTCTTAAAAACTCCAGTTAAATATAAATTAAGATGGTTTTTACACACACACACACACACACACACACACACACACACACACACACACACACACACACACACACACACACATATAAGTATATTAAAACGACATCTTTCTCTTATTATTTAGTTTTTATTGTTCTTTTATCTATAAAATGGAAGTTTTAGGCTCCTTATTGTGCAGAAAGACATTATAAGATAATTGGATGAAGAGCATCTAGAGAAAATAATCAGGCAGTCATACTGTCTTCAGGAATTCCAAGTACTTAAAAGCAGCAGCTGAAGATGATGCTCCATGCCTAACAGTTGATTGGAGACGTGGGAGGAAACTCATCTATGAGGCCAACAGAAGCTCTTCTGTATGACAATGATTTCTTCAATCCTAGAAGCTGTGCCTACAAGGAGAGCAGAAATATACATAAAACAAGCCCAAGCCTGGACACAAAATTACATTTAGAATATGTTTCCTTTTTCATATTTTTTTCCTCAATTACCTCTCATGAGCAGAGAGGCAAACATATAAATGGAGGCCCTTTCTTCATCTTTGGCAGCTTGCTTTAACACTAAGTTTGTAATTTTGTTTCCCTGGAAGTAGTTTTGTTTGGCCAAGAACATTAACCCTAATGCTGTTATTTAATGACAACGATGTCAAGGAATTTGTTGTTTTGCCACTTTTTTTCTAATTAGTTGCTTTTTTTGTAAAAAAACCATTTTAATCTTTAGTTTTTGTTTTTATGTGTTTTTGTGTTTTGGGAGAACGCTTAGAAAAGGCACCTCTCCCAAACCACTTTAAATGCAAATTAGCATCACTTGCATCACAACACATAGTGTTAAAACAGCCAGTTCTTTGCAGGGTGTTTGTTCTTTCTTAAATATTCATAATTTACTGATGTTATGCAGGGTTTTGTTTTCACATGGATGTTACTGAAATAAAAATTGATAAACTTTTGTTTGCACAGAGTCCCCAAGGAGGCATGCAATAATAATAACAGTGTATTGCACATCAGATCATAACTTTTGCACACCACATAGTTGTTGACATTAGGTACTAACTTGTGCACATTGTGTCCACCAGGTACATATTTTGCATTTCAAAAATTATTTTAAGCTCACCAGACACAAACTTGTATTCACTACATTTTCTTTTGTGCACAAAAGGAAATATTTTACACACCACATGCTATTTCATGTACACCAGGTACTTTGTGACCATCATAAAATGTTCACCGGGCAGTAACAAGTGGGCACAAGAAACTGATTTTAATAATGTATTTTTTTCTTCTATGTCACCTTTGGGGCTTTATTGGAGTGCCCTCTTGTCCTGGCCCTTATCTTCTTTTCTTTTCTTAACAGATGATGTGATTTTTGAACAAACTTCTAGTAGGCTGACGTGCGTGTGTGTGTGTTTTGTATGACCAATTGCATCTGTTTGAACTGTCAACCGTTGAACTTTGTATGCTGGAAACATTTCCATCCATCCAATAACTAACCTGCATCATCGTCAGTAGGTTTAGGGGAGCTGGGGTCGATCTCTAGTGGTCATCAGGTGTACGGTGGGGCACGCAGGTCATCAGTCCATCACAAGAATGTGCGCACACACACACACACACACACACACACACACACACACACACACACACACACACACGCGCGCGCGCGCACACAGGGATAATTTACAGTCCAATGAATTTAATCCTCTGGAGGCAAGCGTTGCAGATGTGCAATGTCAAAACCTACCTGGTTACTCCACATACGTATTTCATGAGCATTTTTTAACTCAGTAGTACCCCTGAAGGACTCAGTTGTTCGTCCTTTTATCAAAACTTATTTTGAGCCTGAGAGGGTTAACATACGTGTTATTGGTTAGTGGGAAGAAGCCAGACTCTCTGGAGAAAACCCTTAAATATACATGTGAAGAACAAACTAACCGAGTGCAGAAATGCTGCGCAGGTGGGATTTGAACCAGCGACTTTCTTGTTGCAAGGCAGCAACACCACCGCCTCCACTACCATCCAGCTCTAGGACATTTTATTCATGTGGGGCTCTGCTGCCAGTGTTTGTTTTTCAGGAATTATGCACCTAAAAATAACCTTCTTTGTGGTGTTTCAATATTAACATTAGCACCTCCTCTGGGGAGACTGGAGGACGAGCAGCTCTACTCTGAGCCCCTCCCGGGTATTGAAGGCTTCTCAGCTTATACCAGCTTTCAGCTTGTTTCCTTAAGGTGACAGTCCTGACACGACCCATTCTGGAAGGTACTGAAAATGTTGAGAATAAACTGAAATGTGTTAGAGGGATTTTGTAGTAAATATGTCATTAACACGTTTTGTATTAATGACAATATGATAGACGGATAGATATAGAATTATTATTTTAAAAAAGTCATATGTCTCCTTCAATTTTTTTACATAAGATGAGATAAAAGAAGACTTTGTTGATCTCACAGAGTGGAATTTAGCCTGCACAGCTCAGAACTGATAGCAAAGGACTATTTTGTCATTGCAAACAACAGACTCAACAGTAGTAAACTGTATATATTTATATACACACACACACACACACACACACACACACACACACACGAGATTTGTTCATATTTGGTGTTTTCCTGAACATTACCAACAACAAGAGACATAATTAATCATTTGTGTGGCTTATATTTAACAACTTTATTAATATCAGCCTTCCTGTTGTAGTTATAGTGTCCCATATCACCGCTTCCAATATCCAGACGTCTTTAGGGAAACAGGAATTCATCTGTAGGCCTGTAGTGTTGAGTGGAGTTGTGTTCACTCCCAGTTATTCCTTTATGAATTAATGTGTGTGTGTCTGTTTTTGTCCGTTTTAAGTGTGTGTGTTTATAAACGTACCCCGGTGGGTAAACGCGACACCTGGGAGCGATGCGAATGACAGAAATGCCTCAACTGTCAATCACCAGCTCCCCACGCTGTTGTGCTGAAGAAGAGGAGGAGGACGATGATGAAGAATCTAAAATGCTTCCATCCTCTTAATGAGGAAGGCCTCCATGTGGGAGTTAGGAGTGCTCACGGAATGGAACGGAACGGTGATTTGAGAGGGAAAACAAAAGAAGAAAACAATGGAAAAAGAGCCCGCGTCTCTGTGTTTAAGATTTCCTGAGCTGCTTGTTGAACCTCCCAGCCGAGACTTTATCGTAATTAGCTCTGTCAGATGGCCTGTGCCGGGGGAAGTTATTACCTTAAATAGACTCACCAGTGATATGGATCCTGGTTCCTACAGATGTTTGCATGCCTGTTGAAGTTCCAGCTGGCTGGAACTGGTGGGGGTGCGTTCTCAAGTTTGTGAGCCTGATTGCTGATGCAGAATTAAAGCAGATAAATTAGAGTTCTCAAAAACAAAGTTGAAGATGGTGGTCATTGTGGTACACACAGCACATGTAAGGAAGAAAAATACCAACAAACCCTTTGTTTGGGTTCATGGAGGTTTGG